CATTTTTTCCTATAGAAAAAACATCACGCCTCATTAAATAAGTCATTTTTTCTATAGAAAAAAATCAAGTCTCATTAAATGAGTCATTTTTTCTATACAAAAAAATCAAGCTTCATTAAATGAGGCATTTTTTCTATAGAAAAAATCAAGCCTCATTAAATGAGGCATTTTTTCTATAGAAAAAAATCAAGCCTCATTAAATGAGGCATTTTTTCTATAGAAAAAAATCAAGCCTCAGTAAATGAGGCATCCTTTTCTATAGAAAAAAATCAAGCCACAGAAAATGAGGCATTTTTTCTATAGAAAAAAATCAAGCCTCAGTAAATGAGGCATTTTTTTCTATAGAAAAAAATCAAGCCTCAGTAAATGAGGCATTTTTTTCTATAGAAAAAAATCAAGCCTCAGTAAATGAGGCATTTTCTTCTATAGAAAAAAATCAAGCCTCAGTAAATGAGGCATTTTTTCTATAGAAAAAAATCAAGCCTCAGTAAATGAGGCATTTTTTGTATAGAAAAAAATAAAAAAAAAAATCTATAGAAAAAATGGCTCATTTACTGAAAGAAAAAAATCAAGCCTCAGTAAATGGGGCATTTTTTCTATAGAAAAAAAAATCAGGCCTCATTAAATGAAGCATTTTTTCTATAGAAAAAAAAAATAAGGCCTCAGTAAATGAGGCATTTTTTCTATAGAAAAAAATCAAGCCTCAATAAATGGGGCATTTTTTTATAGAAAACATTTTTTTCTATTGGAAAAGTCTCTGTAAATGAGGCATTTTTTTCTATTTCATAATGAGGCATGAAAAGAAAATTATGCTACAATAAAGAACCATTTTTGTCTATAGAAAGAAATCAAGCATCAGGCATTTTTCTATAGATAAAAATAAATCCGCAATAATGAGGCACTTTTTTTAATGTACGTAGTTTTCTTCCATAGTCCAATAGTTTAAAAATATGCCGGATATATTCTTTTAACACTCCCTCACTTTTTGTTTGGAAAATAAAACAAAAATTAGTTTCTAACGTTTGTTTCTTAAGTCTTTTGTTATGCTGCATATATGTACATTGTACTGACACACACATATGTGACTCAGTTGCGTTTTCTAGCCATAGAATATTATAAAAAAAATCATTTATTTTGATCTTCATCTTATTAGTATAACTAATTTGCGTATCTATTTTAATTTAATTATCTAGCCAAAGAAACGCATTCACATACTATTTGTTTTGAGATCATCATCAGCATCACCATATTTGTCGTCATCAAATATACATTCATACGTATGTTATGCTTATGTATGTTATACATATGTTGTGAACATTTCAGATAGGTTCACCTTTGAACGCAGTATGGTTGGGTGCATTGAACTTTAGATGTCAGCGACTAAAATACGATGATGATTATCGTCGTTATTTCCTTTTCCAATCGATTAAAATGAAATAAAATCACAGTCCAAATTGAGAGAAAAAATAGAAACAACAAGCCATGACGAAGTTTGTTAACATTTCATATTTTTTTGGTTATTATGCTAACAAAAAGCAAAACAATTTTCAAGTTCAAGTTTATATTTTTTGATTAAAAATCTTAGGGTATTGCCAGGTGTACAACAAACAATGCAATTATCTTCGAAATGGAAATAAAAGATAATTGTATATTTATGCTTGGTTGGCCCTGTGTTTTTGGATTTGGAATTTGATTTGTAAACTAGACAATTATGAGTTAAAAGAATAATTACTTTTAAATTTGTCACAAACTTAAGATTGAGATGACTCATAACGTTGTTTTTTGTTTATTTGAAAAATAAACTAATTTGTGAAATAAATTGAACAACCCATGCATATAGTTAAACTGTATATATATATAAAACGTTTTCATTATTTTTTGGAGGGGAAGAACAACAGTTCTTAGGGATTATTATTAGCATAAGGTCAGATTCACCGTTTAGGTCATTGGACATTGAGTTCCACTTCACAGCAGAGAATGATCACCAGTCTTTCTTTTGTACAGAATTAAATTCAGTTAATTTCTATTAAATATTTATTTTGGATAAATATTTTTACACTTATAAATTACAATTTATTCACATAATGTTTAACATAAGGGAGTGCCTATTTGAAGTAGTTTGGAATTTGAATAAAAAATATAAATAGCAAACGATCGATAAGTTTTTTGCGTATTTAATTGATATTAATGTCCGTTTTATTGAGACAAATGAAATGAAAATATTTATTTTAAATTGAGAGATTGATAAATGACTGGCAAATATGTATTTTTTTCAGTTAATATTAATATTTATATACATATAATATTAGATATTAAATATTCACAGGAGACCCCATAAAGCAATAAAATTCGATGTCGATTTAGCCATGTCTGTCTGTTGGAATCACAATATAGCTTCCAATAAATAATATGGGGCTTTGACATTGTACATACATTGCAATTTTTCTTAGGTTGTTTGGTGCTGAAGACCACATCCCATTTAGTGGGGGACCTACCAAAAGGAGTGGAACGATATATCTCATCTTCGAACTTAAACTAAGTTTGGGTGTATTGTACGCACCAGCCAGCCAGGCAGACGGACATATGTTAATCGACTCCAAATGTTCTAAATTTGGTCCAAAGAAACATGGGCTCTAAACCCAATATATCGATGAGGCACATTTTTACCGTATCAAAGTGTATATAACCTCAATAACCATAAAGCTTAGGGTATAACCTAATTAGTCATTAAGCAGAGAGTATAAAAAGCCTCTGCTAAAGAGACATTCTTCCTATAAAAAATCAAGCCTCACATAATGAGTAATTTTTCTCTATAGAAAAAAAAATCAAGCTGTCTCTTGGAATCAAGATATACATTCCAATATATATAATATAGGGCTTTGACATTGTACATACATTGCAATTTTTTTAGGTTGTTTGGTACTGAAAATGGCCCCATCTAACCGTACCACACTTTATTCCGTATTCTAGGCATGTTTTTTAATCGAAATAATTTGATAACTTGGATTCAAAAAATGGCCAATATGGGTTTAAGATTCATTACCTTTGATACGGCAAAAATGTTCCTCATCGAAATATTGGTTTTAGACCCCATGTTTCTTTGGACCATATATCCGTTTCAGGCAATTTGGAGTCAATAAATGTCCGTCCCTCTGTCTGGCCGGCTGGTGCGCACGATAACTCTCGAAGGTAGTAACTGATTTCTTCCAAACTTTGCGCATCTTAGTTGGGAAAGGTCTGCCCTCTGCCCTGGTACCTCCCCCATAAAGGGGATTCAAATAAATTTTATTTGAATAACCGACTCTATCAACATTAAATCTGAATCATCTTTGATAAAAACATATACCTTATATGTAACGAATAATAAGACCTTCACCGCAAACCATAGGAGAATTGTATATATCGGTCGGCAATGCCGACTGACACTTTTTACTAAAAATTATTTCATTATTTTGGGGGAGGGTATGGGTATGGTTATTACATTTTTAATTCTCATTTGGGTAGGAAATCTCCCTACCAAAAATTATCAACATAGACCTTAGTTTTGCTTAAACCCCCATCTAACAGTACCCTCACAATATCCCATATTTTGGTCACGGGTTCCAACCTAATTAACTGTAATTTGGTATTTTGGGTTCTCATTAAAATCTCCCTACCAAAAATTATCAATATTCCCCTAAGATTCAAGGTAACCTCTAAAATTCGGTGATTTGAGAAAAAAATTTCAAGCGAATGTACTCTAATTTGATATTTTGGGTTCTTGCTGAGCACCAAATACTCCTACAACAAATTACCAATATAGGTCCACTTTTTAGAATAGTCCCCATTGAAAAGTATCACCTCCCCCCCAATCTTCCTACAACAAATTAGCAATATCGGTCCAGTTATTTTGGAGAGTTTGCGCATGTATTTCAACAGAATTGGCTATAATTTAATATTTTGGATTCTTTCTGGGTGTCAAGTCTTCCACCCACGAAGAGATGTAGGCCTTCAATAGCTATGTTGGGCCCATTTTAGCTAGAATTAGATTATTTTTTTGGATTCCCTCTATGTATGAAATCTTCAACATTTAACGGAACCTCCTAATTTTCGTTATTTTGAGGATAACAGTCCTGTTTTTCAACCAATCTGGCTTCAATTTGATGTTTTGGGTTCTCATTGGGTAACAAATCTTTTTAGCATAGAAAATATTGGTCGATTTTTGGGTATAACCCCCAAAATAAAGTTCAGTTCATTATAGGTATTTTGAGACTACTGTGTGCGAGTGACCACATTTTACAATTACCAAGCTGCTGTAATTTGGCATTCCTCGTGTCATTCTTAGTTGGTAAAATACTTATTCAAAGAACATTTCCCAAGAATAAAAAATATTGACCCAAGTTTTGGTATACCCTAATGTTATTTATTTTGAGAATTCCGGACATGTTTTCCAACCAAGTTTGTTGTAATTTTATATTTTTAGTTCTCAATAAGGGAAATAATTCGACCTTTCAAAAATAATACAAATCGGTCCAGCCCCTTTATAATACCATTGTCGAGTTGCTGTAATTTGGCATTCCGGCATCTTGATGGGTAAACAACTTGTTCATATTCGTAGTTAGAGGTCACGTATCACTTCCGCCCAGTGAAGCCCACTTGAAAGCAAATTAATGCAAAAGTCCTCATGGTAGGATGATATAAAAAGTTTCGTCAGACCGAACATAACGACATTTGTAATTGTTTTCCATAGGCTTCATTTTCCGTGTTTTATTCTTTTCAATAGATAAAATGTCTTATTTCAATTCCGGATTTTTTTTATAAAAAGAAATCTCAATATCGAGACCTATTTTTTCGAAGGGAAAATGCCTGAATAACAGGCAGGATTTTTTCAGAGAACTCTATCCATATTCTATCCTTCTTAATAACATAAGCTTGATTTTGTTTCTATTGATAAATTTTAATAGTCTTTTTTCCTGATTTTTTTTTTTTCTAATTGTATCCCCATATTTTTTTCTTTACAGCCTGGCCATCGTGTACCACGTTTCTTCCTGATTAACTGGGGTATTTGTGTACCCTCATCCTGTTCGCACAAAGATGTTGAATATACGGTCAAAGAATATTTGAACAATGTAACCGAATCCACTGGTGTTTCTTTCAAAGTTCGTGTTGAACCACAAATGTGTCAAGTTAAGGAGAATAAACCATGGGACAGTGGAACTACCTGGGCTGTGTAAGTATATACATAATTAAAAAAAAAACCGTCAACAAAACACATCCCGGAAATATTCATTTAAATGATAATTTCTTATTATATTTTGTAGGCGTTTCTTTACCATCATTCTATCGATAACAATATTGTCAACCGTCTATCATCTCTGCACCAAGAGCAAAAAGCCAAGTAAGTAATAATTAAATAATTAGTTGTTGTTTTTTGTAATTTGTTGTTAATAATACTAGTAGCTGTTGTCATTTAGAAAACAGAAATAAATCAAAAAAGATTATCTCTTTATGGTAATTTAAATTTTAATTATATTTGTTTATATTCTCAGACGATTGGCTTGTCGCATTTTCTTTGGACAAAAATCTACGCTGGCTCTTCAACACATCCTCCTCTTCCGATGATATTGAAGCTGTACATGGTCTACGTTTGTTAAATGCTATTATGTTGTTGTTCTCTCACAAGTCAATGGCCATATTTTTCAATCCATATGATAATCGTACCGAAATGGCAGAGGTAAGTTGTCGCATTAAATGCGAATTTTTATAAGATTGTCTCTTTGCAAATACGCAATTGTAAAGGTAGAGATAATTTTTATTAATAAAAAAATTAATTATTTTTTTCCAGTCTTTGGGACAACCTTGGACCGTCGTTGGCCGTGCCGCTTCTTTGTACACAGATCCCTTCTTATTATTCAGTGGCATGTTGACGGCTTATTCATTCTTTGGACGTTTGAATAAGGGTCAAACCATCAAACTGAAAAATGAATATATCAATCGTTTTATACGGTAAGTTGTCATAATAAATATACCCTCCGTCATAAGGTTATTCAAAAACCCTAAAATCGATCGGAACTATTAGATCGGAAAACGAAATGACAAACTACATACAGTCAGATTGGGAATTTTGGATATAGAACCGGAAATAAAGACTGACCTTTATGCAGAAACTATATAGCTACATTGAAAAAATCCCATAATGCCAAAATACAGTAACTTCGTAATGTTAAATTGTCACTTCGGTGTGAAAATTCATTTAGAACCATCAAAATATCTATAAAGGGGTTGAACCCTTATATTGGGGGATACATTGTTAGGCTAGAGATATCGACCGATACTTATAGTTTTGGCAAGCAATTCATCAAAATATTAGGTTTGGGAAAAAGTCCATTATTTTTCGGCAGATGGCTGTACTGAGAGATTTCTCGTAAAGTATAGATCAAACAATTTCAGATTTAGACATTTCGCAGTAAAAAAATATTTTGCTGTTTTTGTTTGGTTCATTCAGTTGTGAGTTACATGGTGTTAAAAATATAACTGAACAAAGAGAAAATTCGATACATTTTACAGTTTTTCTTTGACAAAGGCGAAAATTGTGAATGGTGTTTATGGTTCCGATACTATAACAGCCAATTATGTGCAATTTTGGTTTCGCAGATTCCGTTCAGGAATATTTGATGTTAAAGATGCACCTCGCATTCAATAAAATCGGAGAAATGATCGAAGTTGACTGGCATGCTAGCAGTCGTAACATCGCCCAGAAGCTAAAAATCTGCCATAAAACTGATTTAAACCGTTTAAAATTGACCAGAAACGGTCAGAATTAACCAAAGGGAGAGGTGTCGTGTTCCACTAGGATAACGCTAGGCCACACACATCTATAGTGACTCGCCAGAAACATCGGGAGCTTGGTTGGGAAGTTTTAATGCATCCGTCATACAGTCCGGACTTGGCACCAAGCGACTATCATCTTTTTCTTGCATTGCAAAATTTCTTTAAAAATAAAAAATTGCCCAAATCGGGCATTCCGAAGCATGATAAATAAAGTCCTATAGTTCATATAAAAAGAATGGATTTCTTTTTCCCCAGCCTCATATAATGCAGTCACTTCAGTTGGAAAATTAATCGAGGACCATTAAAATACCTATAAAGCGCTGAACCCTTTTGTGGATGCTATACCCAAATATCGAATGTGTACAATTTTTGAGAAGAATATTTGGGACCCATTGAGAACTCAAAATATAAAAATAAAGCCAATTCCGCTGAAAACTGCATCAAAAATCGTCAACATATTAATAATTTTTAATAGAAATATGATAGAAAAATGAGGATCCAAAAATGTGTTCAAACTCCTCAAAATTGTGACATTTTGGAGGTTGATATTGATAATTGATAATAATATTGATAATTTTTGGTACAAATATTTCCTATCCAATGTGAACCGAAAATAACAAATTACAGCCGATTCGATTGAAAAACGTGACCAAAATACCAAATATTGGGTGGTGGTTTAATGCATCCGTCATACAGTCCGGACTTGGCACCAAGCGACTATCATCTTTTTCTTGCATTGCAAAATTTCTTTAAAGATAATAAATTGCCCAAATCGGGCATTCCGAAGCATGATAAATAAAGTCCTATAGTTCATATAAAAAGAATGGATTTCTTTTTCCCCAGCCTCATATAATGCAGTCACTTCAGTTGGAAAATTAATCGAGGACCATTAAAATACCTATAAATCGCTGAACCCTTTTGTGGATGCTATACCCAAATATCGAATGTGTACAATTTTTGAGAAGAATATTTGGGACCCATTGAGAACTCAAAATATAAAAATAAAGCCAATTCCGTTGAAAACTGCATCAAAAATCGTCAACATATTAATAATTTTTAATAGAAATATGATAGAAAAATGAGGATCCAAAAATGTGTTCAAACTCCTCAAAATTGTGACATTTTGGAGGTTGATATTGATAATTGATAATAATATTGATAATTTTTGGTACAAATATTTCCTATCCAATGTGAACCGAAAATAACAAATTACAGCCGTTTCGATTGAAAAACGTGACCAAAATAGCAAATATTGGGTGGTGGTACCTTTATATGGAGGCTACCCTGGAAATAGGGCCAATATTGATAATTTTTGGTAGAGAGATTTTCTACTCAATGATTATCCACATAACTAAACTGCAGGCAATTTGGATGCAAAAAAATGGACCAATACTGGTAGTGTTTAGTACGAGGATTTGATACCATATGATAACTCATATTACAAATTAGAGACATATCGGTAGAAAATTAAGCTCCAACTCCCAAAATACTGAAATTTCGGGGGTACGGATATGGGGAGACTTACATATAAAATAGACCAATATTAGTAATTTTTAGTAGGGAGATTTGACACTAAATTACAACACAAAATACCAAATAATAGCCATTTCGAATGAAAAACGTACACAAAATGCCGAATAATAAGGTGTAACAGTATATAGGGGTTGCCGCAAACCTTGTGCCAATATTTAATGGAGTTTTTTATCCATTTTCATAGCTAAGGATTAATTTTATAATTGCTGAAATCCACTTTATTGAGGATAAGGATAAAAATACAGGATTGCATTTTTTCTGTAAAAAATACCTCTATGTGGGTTAAGATAATATTGGATTGATTTTTTTTTTTTTTTTAAAGAAAAATTCTTGACATTTTTTATGGAAATAATTTCTATTACTAGTTAAAAATCTATAATAGTGAGTAAAATAAAAAAACCCATATCGTAAAGGGTTTCATTGTTTAATTCATTCACAGATCTTCAATAGATTATGAGCTTCCAATTTTAATTTTTTTGAATTTTTTACGATTCTTTACGGTTCAATTAAAAAATCGATTTGTACACTACCCTAACACTATCGACATCAACGTTATTAATCTTTTTGCGGGTGTGACCCTAATCTATACAATACAGATTTCTATTACGGTAGCTCTTGACTTCAAAATCACGTTCGAAAAACATCACGTTTATGCCCACTAAAAATGTTATTGCATGTAAACAAAACACAACAATAGAAAAAACTCATAAAATATATTTTGTGTGTTTTTTTTTCAAAAAGTAACGTAACAATTATTATTGTTTCTACTACGCGTGTTTTGGAAATACAGCATCCGGAAATGATAACAGGAATGTTGAAAAATATTTTTTCATATCAAATATTTTTATATTTTCAATATCTTCGACTATATTATAAAGACTGGTCCAAAAACATCCCTTCACTTCGGCTTCTACAAAATCTATTTTCAATTCGACATCAGTAAAAATTTCCCTCATATCGCATTTAAGACATTTGTTGTCTTCAAGCTTAAATGATCTCCGTCCTTGAATAACTTCTTTCTATCTTATCGACTATAATGTCTTTCTTCAATTCGTCTGTGGACTAAGATCTCTCTTCAGAATAAGATCCCTCTTCAGAGCTGCGACCATTTTCAGCACATCTAAAAAACTGTTCAGCATCTATTACAAGAACTCATCTATTACTCATATATTACAAGAACTCCATATATTGGCTTCTTCAAAATCTTTTTTCAACTCGACATCAGTAAAAATCTTCCTCAGATTTCCTTTAAGGAAAAAAATTTCCCTCATATCGCATTAAGGACATTTGTTGTCTTCAAGCTTAAATGATCTCCGTCCTTGAATAACTTCTTTCTATCTTATCGACTATAATGTCTTTCTTCAATTCGTCTGTGGACTCCTTACTACAGATCTTCTACGTAAAGACATAAGTTTGAATATAAAGATCTATTACAAGAACTCATCTATTACTCATATATTACAAGAACTCCATATATTGGCTTCTTCAAAATCTTTTTTCAACTCGACATCAGTAAAAATCTTCCTCAGATTTCCTTTAAGGGGACCCCCCCATTCTCGGGGTCAAAATTTTTGTTGATATAATTCGAATCTACACTGATTAAAGAATGTCTCTACAAAATTTTGAGTGAAAATCTCAAGAACTCTTGAAGATATAGCCGATTTATCGTGTCAGCATCAAGTGATGGCTGAAGGGCTTTTCAAACTTTAAACGCGTTTTTCTCTAAACATTTTTTTGCGAATGGCGGGCACGATAACTCAAAAACTAATAATCCAATCGGTTCCAAATTTTGCAACGTTTCTCTGGGAGTATATAGCTCTCGTATGAACTAGGATAAAGCCAATCGGTGAAGATCTTCCTTATTTTTGAACTTGGTTTTTGGTAAAAAATCGGCGATTTTCCAAAAATATTTTTTCAAAGGTCCACCATTTTGTTAATTTTAAAGCGAAGTCAATAATTCTAGTTCATACGAGAGCCAGACATGTACTCTTTCTAACACCGTTTGAATTTTCGGATTCCGATGTTCCAGTGAGGAGTTATCATGCCCGCCATCAAAAATAAGGACTTTTCTTTAATTACAAAAAACAACAACAAAACAATAACACAAATTTTTTGTAAATTATTTTTCTTATCTTTTAAATCTTCAATTATATATGTGCAAAGTTACAAACCTTAACAAGCATTGGTATTGATTTACCAGCCCATTGAAAATCTTGAAAAATTAAAATCGAGAATGGGTGCGGTTCCCTTAAGACATTTGTAGTCTCAAGCTTAAATGATCACTTTTGGTCTTATCGACTATAATGTTTTTCTCCAGTTCGTCTGTAGATTCCTTACTACAGATCTTCTACGAAAAGACTCACTGCCATAAGCTTGCCTATCTGTAAAGATTCGCAGGCTTCAGCTTGTCTATATAGACTACCTTTATCAGATCTATTGATAAAAATTCCCTTGATAAGTTCAAATATGATCTCTCTTTAGAGCCTCAACCCTTTTCGGTACATCTAAAAAAAATGTCTTCAGGTCGCTTATAAAAATTTACTCTATACAGTACCCCCACAAGAACAATGGTTTTTAATTCGTCTATAAAAAATAAGTCTATTCTACAACTTATCTACAAAAAAGCTACTTACTTTAGCTTTTAGGCTAGGTTAGGTTTGAGGAATGTGACTACAGCACTCGGAGACCGTCCGGTCCATTGTGATCATCTATTGAAGATATGGAGAGATCTGTAGGGGAAAAAATTTCCGGTAAAGATGACAGATGGGTGGTTTGATTGAGTCATCGATTGTTAGATCTGTGAATTGAGATCCTCGTCTAGCTAATTCGTCTGCTTTTTCATTATCCATGATGTCACAGTGCCCTGGTACTCAACAAGATAGCCGTTAGTACTTCAGCTCTTAGAACGAATTTCCTCCCTATTAAATTTACTGCCTTCAATTCTTAAAAGTCTTTATTCAACTCATTAATTAAAAAAAGTAAAGTCCTCACTTTGTCAATAAAAATCATTTCACCCCCTACAATGAAAGATTCCCCCTCTACAAAAAATGCAAAATGAAAGATTCCCCCTCTACAAAATGGGAAAACTGAACTAGAAACTCTAAATTACAGGAAAAGACGGAACCTTATATGAAAGCTATAACAATTTAAGACAACATGAAGCCGAAATGATAAATGGAATATTGTCTTATTTTCTGCTTAGATGTCATTAATATTAAATACTAATTCGAAATATGGCTTGTCTTAATTCATTGACCATTTGCTGTAAATACCTGTAGCATTTTTTATTCACACCGGCAATTAATCATTTTCAATATATCTATTACTCACGTAAACAATTTGTCTCAGCTTCGAAAGAAAGAGAAAATAGTAATGTGAATACAGTAACTGTAGCAGTAATCAACAAATCAATTGCTTTTAAAGTTGTCAGAAAGTGTAAGTGAAATAAAATATTTTTGATAGAGTCGGTCAAGGTTGTTTTGTTGTTTGCAAATCGCATTCAATTGGAAATAGGCATTGTAATCATATTACATAGCTTGCCCAGCAGACTGATATTGATATTTAATTGCAAATTTGATGACCATCAAACGAAATGGACTCCCATCGTATTAAACGATATTTTAATTGAGGAAAAAATACTTTCGTAGATTTCAGATATTTTGTCCAAGGGGGATGGGCGGCTCTGAATAAAATCTCTGAGTAAAAACTAACTTAAAAATAATAATAACTCCTATATAAGTAAGTTTAACAAAGGTTTCACTCTAACTATTTTCGAATGACGATATTCTGGATCCTGAAAACGGGACGATATTAAATATGTCCTCTATATCTATATATGAACCGATTTCAATCCATATACGTGCCATTCAGTAATATATGCACAATTTCTTTTCAATCGGAAAGAATTAGATTATTAAGTGTAAAATTTATATGAAATTGGATAAAATTTTGTATGAGTGCAATATGCAAATGCATGTTTGGCTCTATATGGTAGACTGTATAAAATTTAATCTCAATCGGACAAATGTTGGGTATTTGGTGCACCATTAAGTTGAAATCAGTCGAAAGTATTTATGGAAGTCATATCCAAACCTGAACCGATTTCAGTAAAACTTAATACACGTCATTCTAGACTCAATTCTGTGCGTTATACAAAATTTCGTCCTATTCGGACAAACAATGGGAATTTGTGCACCATTTACATGAAATCGAAGGAAACTATATATGGAAGCTGTATTCAAATCTGAACCGATATCAAGAAAATTAAAGACGCATCATTATAGGCTCAATGTGATACTCAGTACAAAATTGTACTGTAATGGGGCAAAGATTGGGAATTTGAAGCACAATTTGCATGAAATCGGAGGAAAATAAATATGAGAGCTATATCAAAACTGAATCCATTTGAACAAAACAAAATTTAACACATGTTATTCGAGACTCAATTTAATACGTTATGCAAAAAAAAAACAGTCGGACGAAATGTGGGTATTCACATGATATCGGAAGAAAATATATATGGGAGTTTTATTCAAATCTGAACAGATTTCGAGAAAATTTCAAGACAGTACAAAATTTTATCTTAATCGAACACGTTTTGTGTTTGGTGGATAATTTGAACCGATTTAAATTGACTCACAAATGGCTCTATCTTGTTTTCTTTTTTATGTTAAATAAAGAGGATTGCTTAACATGATTACATCGACAACTTTGTGGACTATACATGAAACGGTTTTGTAAAAGTCAACCAAAGAGAGTTTTGAATTTAACAATTTAATTTTCTAACGTAACGTGGGGTTTAGTCTAAATATTGTGTAGTAATATTTTTAGTCTTTAAGTTAGTGTCCTTTAAAATTGTCCTCTATTCTACCCTTTACAATTAATTCATTAAATCCTTGTATAAAACTTATAAATAATTTCTTTATCCACTTTTTTGTTGTCTATTTTCAGCATTGTTCCTCCACTAGGCGCTCTTATCCTCTTCTGCACGTTCATTTTGCCAATGTTGGGTTCGGGTCCACAATGGAATTTGGTTGTTGGACATCATGCTGATATTTGCAAAAAGAATTGGTGGCGTAACTTGCTCTTCATTCACAACTACTTTGGATTCAGTAATATGTGTTTGACCCATACCCATCATTTGGGCATTGATACTCAACTGTTTGCTGTGGCTCCATTTATGATTTTTGCCATGTGGAAATGGCCACGTAAGGGTGCTATGGCTTTGGTTGCATTGGCATTGCTGGCCACATTTGGACGTTATTATGTAACGGTTTTGTATGAACTCTCGAATTACATCTATTTTGGTACCAAGTAAGTTCAGGATTTTCATTATTTTACACGAGAATACTTAATTATGTTGTTTTTGTGTTTTCTTTTCAGCATCAAACGTTTATTCCGCACAGCTGATCGCATGTACTCCTTCCCTCCATTGCGTTCTACCGTTTATATTATGGGCATTTTCTTGGGCTTTGCATTGCGTAAATTCCGTGGCATTAAATTGTCCAAGACTCAAGTGTATTGGGGCTGGACTGTGGCAATTGCCTGTTTGTTGATATCACTGTTGGGTCCAGCACCAATGGGTTCAATGAGTTATCAATACAATAGCACACACTCGGCCATTTATGCCGCCTTTGTGCCCATCACCTGGTGTATATTCTTTGTTTGGGTGGTCTTTGCCTCACACAATGGCTATACAAGTAAGAAGAAATTTGAAAAAATTAGTTACACATTTTTACAAAAAATATTAATTTACATACCTGTTTCCCTTGCAGATAAAATCACAGATATGTTCTCGTGGAAGGGATTCCAGGTGACCACAAAATTGTCCTATGCCATTTATTTGACACAATTCCCGGCATATTTCTTCAATGTGGGACGCCGTCGCCATGTCCATCACTATTATAATTTCTTCTCAGTTATGGTGGGTACTCTTATACATCTTATATTCATCAGCTAATTTCTAATCGTAAAAATTATTCTCCTTACAGTTTGATACCAATGAATATTTGTGCATATTCTTTGCCTCTGTGGTATTGACAGTACTGTTCGATGCACCATTCCAAAACATAAGAAAATTAATAACCAAACGTACACCAACCGCTGTAGCCTCTGGTCCTGCCAATGCCACCAACAAATCAATTAACGCCAATGATAGTGCCGCTAAAGAAATCACCACCACCATCAGCACATCAACTAAACGTTTGCATTCCGATTAGATTAATTCACAACGCACCCTCACGGAGAGGGAAGACCTTCTCATTGTAGTGGTGTGACCAAAAAAAATATCATTGTATAATTTGTGTATTTATGTAGTCTAGTATTGTTTTAGTCGTACATATATATTTAATTCGATTTTAATTTTATGCATTATATTTCGTATTTCAATTCCTCCCTCCTTCTCCTCCACCTTCATCTTTTAAGCATTTTACATGGTAGTCCTAAATTAATTACGCATTAATCGACGCTATTCCTGTACATACATCTAAACAAAGAAACAAAAAAAGCACGACGCGAAACCTGCATCCTGCATTTGCATCCACATCTAGTATTATTTTTTATTTTTATTTTAGTTTTATTATTCATGCGATACGAGTAACTAATGAGTTGAATTAGTCATTTGTTTTTAATTAAGCCATACAATAATGTGTACAGTTAAAAATTAAAAAAAATAATAAATAAATGAAAGAATTTATAAAATATAATGATCATTGATTTAATTATTGGACTGTTTGTTACATTTTGAGAAAAAAATAGATGATCGTTTCAAATAATAATGAAATTGTGAAAATTAAAAAAACGCTAGTAAGAAAAGTAGTAGTAAGAATACAGTATTACTAAACATTCAAAATCTATTAGAACTTTTTGGTAAATGGTAAATTTCTGGTAAAGAAATTTGGCGTTATATGGGGTTTAGTGGATCAATATTAATACTTTTTGGATGATTTTCAAAACAATTAGAACACCAAGACACAAATTATAACTGATTCGGTTGAAAAGGTATCCAAAATGTCGAATTATGGGCTATACTGCAATATAAGAACCACTTCGAAATACTCCTCAACGATAATCAAAAATCCTAAAAGTGTCTATTGGAAATTCCTGATTGCACATTGAAACTAAAAGAAAAATTCAACCAACACAAATAAATTCAAAATAAACATCATTTACAGGTAGATACAGATAATTTTTCGAAAAAGGTAGATAATGGCCGTAAATCTCACTTTGTTGGCGTCTACTTTAGCATTGGCACGAAGGTCGTGAAATGAGTAGCTTATTCGAGAAAGTCATAAAAATACTGATTTGGCGGTTCCTCAGTGGTCTTGGGAACATTTTATAGAGACGGAATACTTGATTTGGCATTTCCTAGTTGTCGGATTAATTCAATGGAGAATGGTCAAGTCTTGGAAGACAAATTATTGTCATTTTGGGAAAGAAGCAACAAAGAAGGACTGGTTTTTCAGCAAGATATCTCGTCTGTTCATAAAAGTCGCCATACTCAAGAATTGTTAATATAAAAAAAATATTCAAACTTCTGACCAGAATCAGATAGAGAACATATGGAGAATCTACTTCGTCGTGTCTACGCAGAAAACCGCCAATATCAACCCAAAAGGAGTGATTATCGATGAAGATATGCCAAAAAAAATGATAGTATGATTGATAGAATTTTTGAACTTATTCAAAATAATTTTATTTATAATTTTAAAAATAAATTTATCTATTTAATTTATTAAATTTATCTAATTTTGTAAAAGTACATCTATAGTTATGCAAAATCAATAAGTTTGCATGTGCAGAATTTTTTTTGTTTTGTTTTTTTGTATGAAATGTGTTTTATCATTTTATATACAATATGTCCGATTGACACAACATTAGGCGGAACGTATCGAAATGGGTCTAAAATAACGTCTGGTAAGTTTGGATGAAATTGGTTCAGATTTAGATATAGCTCCCATATATGTTTGTTTGTTCGATTTACACCAAATTTTACACAACGTTCGAAAGTAAGAATAGCCTAATATCTGTTGACTTAAGGTATTAAATTGAGGCTAGAATATTACGTTTTTTAAAAATTGGTTCAGATGCAATTATTGCTTTCAAATAACGAGATATATTCGCCAAAAAAAAAACGTAGCCCTCAAATTTGAAATTTTAAAGTGTACCAAATAATGAACGGGTGACCAATTAAGATTAAATGTTGTGTTGTAGCATAATGAATAGTTTGATGTTAATCGATTTACATAAGTTTGTCCCTTTGCACAAAATCGACTCTAAATTTTTCCTAATGATATGAAATCTAACATAGGATACCGAGGACATGTGTGTGGATTAATGTATCCACTAAGAATACAAATACCGATAGTTGGGGGTAACTTTATATTGAGGGCTACTAGAAATAATGGACCGATGCTTATAATTTTTAGTTGTTGTTGTAGCAGCTTGTACTACAGTGCATTTCTTCTTATTTTCCTTAATAATTTTTAATGGATACATTTGATACCCAATAAGAACCTATTGCACCAAAGTACAGCGAATTCGCTTGAATAGCGCCCTCAAGAACCCCAAAATATCAAAACTTTGGGTACCCTTATTGAAATTGTTAAAGCTTCATTTTTTTTAATATGGTCTCTGTTAAATATTTTGAGATTTACAAACTGACATACCTCTCACATAAATGACAAACATTTGCAATTGGTATACATCTTATATAAAGCCGAATTAGGTAGTTTAAAGATAGATAAGATCCGATCTTTTTCTCCAGAAAGGTTTAAATTAATACGGATTGCCGAAATGGGAGTCCGATGAGAACAAAACTTTTCACAAAATTATATTTATATGAAATTAATATGAACAATTTTGAAAACTTCAAAGGTTTTCGATTCTGACTCTGATAGATTTAACGCTCAAAGCTCTATTTTCTCCGAAAACAAATTGTAATAGAATATAAAAACAACGCATAAACAAATAAATAAATAATTCCTATAATTTATTTGTCTTTAGAAGTATGTTTTCCTGTTTCTTAAATAGAAGTTACTGAAATTATAATTTACCTTATTTCAGAGGACGGAATCCAACCAGGTTTGGAGTCTGCTCTGCTTCAATCAAGCACATTCAACATCATCATATCAATTATTTACAATTACAAACCCTTTAATATCAACCACACGAATTTTTATATTGAATTTCGATACACACAAGCCAACGCGGAACTTTCTAGCATATAAATTTTATTAAAGCTCTTGGCAAGGATGTTGAATATTGTTTCAGTCTCTAGTTGAAATCCATTGTATTGCACCGAACCGACATTTTATACAGTAAAAACGCGCAAATATTTTCGATACCCGATTGAGGCGAATATATTTATATTAAAAGGCAGAAATCACAAATTTTTTTACTGAGGCATATTTTCATTAACGAATTTTTTAAATCATACTTAACGAATCGGAAATTGCACAACTATTTCACATTTTCGCTGTAAAACGTAATTCCAAATTTTAAGTCAAAAAATATTTTCAGAATACAGTTAGATTTTGTTCATTTATTTACAGTGTTGCATATTTATGGAGTAATGAAAAAAGCTCGACTGTGTGTTGCATTTTTGTGTATTACAGTTAGTGGACTAGTTGACGGGTAGTACTCGTAACGTATGGCATACGTTACGTCAATACGTTACATTTCAGAGTTTTTGATATTTAAACGCATTTAAACGTACGTTGTACTGGTTTTATTGTTAATTCCAGTTGATCTAAATCTATTTAATGTAATTGACAAAAATATATGCCAAATAAATCACCAGACCCAGCAAAATGTTCTAATGTGAATGTCGTTTAAGGAAAATGGTAAAGAAAACTTAAACGACATTCTAATGTGAATGTCGTTTAGGGAAAATGATAAAGAAAACTTCAAAAGAAAGATCCAAAGTCGGACGGGATTGCCTATATTATACCACTAACCACTTTATGTATATTCAATAGATCTTAAGAAATTTATCGTGACCCATGGTATCTACATACAGTGGTGGTCACAGGATTAAAACATTTACTGTGGTAAACATTTTTTGATCAGCCCTCGATTCGTTTGAAGTATTTTGGAAATTTTTTTAATTCAGAACACTTCGATATACTGCACTTAAGAGATTTAGAGTGAAAATGGAAAATTATTGCATGCAATTTTTCCATAAATAACGGTTTTTATGAAAATACATCGACTTTGAAGTGACCATATAATTAAAACATTATGTGATTTTTTACTTTACTGCATTTTTTGAAAATATTTAAAAAAAGCTCTTTAATTTAGTTAAAATATGTAAACTAAGCACCGATAAAATCATTTACTGATAAAAATTTTTGAAAAAATCTGTAAAATCTATCAAAATCGCCAAAAATTTGTACAGGACTCCTTACATTCAGAAAATAACCCTTATTATAAGAAATAAATGTCCGAATGCACCAGAAAGTGCTAGAATTAGTAAAAAACAATAAATAATCCTCAAAATAAATAAATATTTGAAATAAAAACTGAAAAATGGGAATTAACCTTAAGGAACGATTCTATTTCGATAGCCTTTATTGAAGAAGGCCGGAATATTTTTGCAGTATGTGAGGAAATATCGATTGATATTGGCATTTATTATATCAAATCGATTGTTCGAGTAGTACAGAATATATTTTATCAAAAAATATACCTGTCATAATAGAAGGAACAGAGATCAACGCCTATGTTGACGAGAAAACGCGATTTTGATAGATTTTACAGATTTTTTCAAAAAATTTTACCAGTAAATGATTTTTATCGGTGCTTACAGTACGTTTACATTTAACCGGATTTCGTTAACCCAGTGGGTTTCAATTGCCATTTCCTTTCCATATATGCCAAATAAATCCTCATAAAGTAGGTTAACCCCGGTAAAAAGTTCTAATGTACAAGGAGTTTTAGTTTACATATTTTAACTAAATTAAAGAGCTTTTTTTTTAAATATTATCAAAAAATGCAGTAAAGTAAAAAATCACACAATGTTTTAATTATATGGTCACTTCAAAGTCGATGTATTTTCATAAAAACCGCTATTTATGGAAAAATTGCATGTAATAATTTTCCATTTTCACACTAAATCTCTTAAGTGCAGTATATCGAAGTGTTCTGAATTAAAAAAATTTCCAAAATACTTCAAACGAATCGAGGGCTGATCAAAAAATGTTTACCACAGTAAATGTTT